GAGGCAGCGGTCGCCAACTGGTGGTCCATGAGGGTCTGACAGTGTTGGCGACCGCTGCTCTAAAGAGCTCAATTTTTTCCTCCCCACTTTCTTTGTATTTGCAAAATGAAGGCTGGAAAGAGCCTGTCTAAGTAATTATGTCACATATTTTTATTTCATGTATGAAAGGATACAGACATGTCCAGTTCTTTCTCTTTTAAAAAATACTTTGTGGATTTTACAAAGAGGAAGGGAAAGGGACAGAGAGTTAGAAACATCAATGAGAGAGACACATTGAACAGCTGCCTCCTGCACTTCCCCTACTGGAGATTGAGCCTGCAACCAAGGTACATGCCCTTGACATGAATCAAACCCAGGATCCTTCAGTCCAAAGGCCGACTCTTTATCCACTGAGCCAAACCGGTTAGGGCTGCCCAGTTCTTTCCTAACACTTTTGCTTTATTAATAACTTTCTCCAAGTAAGGGATTCTGACTATTTTTTGTTTCTCACCTTCCCCTCTTCCTCATCCCCTTGCAGAATCCCACATGTACAGTCCACATATCTTAAGGGTAGAGATGTTTGCTAATGACTCATCATATGTTTAAACACTATTGTTCAACTTTTCACAACTAGGAATCTGATTGTAGAGCTGTATCTATTGATTTCCAATCCAACAGCAGAACATTCTGAGGGTCTGACTCAGATGGCAGTAAAACTGCTTGTATAAATAAAATAATTGAATTGTTGGTTTAGTTCAAGTCAAGGTATTCTCTGAAACTTTGGGAATTTTGGTAGGAATTTGTAACTATTAAAATTTGAAAATTACTTTCTAAGTTTTCTAAGATCTAATAGAACCAATTTTCTTTTCATCATAACCCGATGATATGCTTATTGATTTTAGAGAGGGGGGAGGGTAGAGAGAGAGAGAGAGAGAGAGAGAGAGAGAGAGAATATCATTTAGGTAAGAGAGAAACATTGATTGGTTGCCTCCCATATGCACCCTGACTGGGGACTGAACCCACAACCTAGGTATATGGCCTGATCGGGAATCAAACTCACAACCTTTCAGTGTATGGAATGATGCTCCAGCCACCTGAGCCACAGCAGCCAGGGCATGGAACTGGTTTTCAGGAAAGAAAACCTTATATTCCTCCTAAAATTTCTGCATACCTGAGGTCCAAAGTTCAGCTAGGTCAGTGGGAGTTGATGGAACACCTTGAGGCCTTTGAGTTGATTGAATGAGCTATAATGTGTGCAACGTGCTCATCACTGTGCCTGGCTTGCACGCACTCTTGTGGTTTCAGTCTGCCTGACTCTGTTTTCTAAGTCACTGTTATGTGTTTTCTTTAAAACAGTTCTAGTCTCATACATTTGGCTACATTTCTCTGAAATATTGGCCCTGAAATTTGGAAGCAGAGAGTTTAAAATTTTAGCATCCAGTTAATATCTCATTGACATAAGCTCATGTAGTCAACCATTACTCAAATCCTGATTTGCATAATCATAAAAGAAGTAATTTTCAATATATCAAGAATCTCTAAGTTATATGTAATTTGCTGTGTTCTCAGTTCAGGTAACTACATTTATAAATTTGTTTCCCATTTTGATCACATATTGTTTTGCATTATTTTAAATCTCAGCATGCTTCCCACAAATGAAGGCTATTAGATTTCTGGTAGGTTCTATAAGAGGAATTGATTTAGGTGATTATGAAAAAATAACACCTGTAGGTGGGCTTTTTTTTCATTTTTTTTCTTTGACTTTAAGGAATTTGTAATATTTATTGGAGCTGGATAGTCACTAAAAATGCTAATTGGTACTTTGTCCCCCCTCTATCATAAGTCCAAAGATTTCATTTACTTAAAAAAATTAAATTTATTTTAAATCAAAATAAATTTTTAGTTAACCAAAATAAAACCATTACTAGTTTAGAAAATAATTAAACACTTTTAGTTCATTGATTGACAGCCTAGATGTTTAAATTTGTTCTGACATACCTGCATATCTGTTCTCTAAATGTCTTTCTTGCATGTGCTGGTTTAATGCTCCTTGCCCAGAAAGCTATGCACAGGCTCTTTTTGTTCAAATATTTCCCAAATATGCAGCTTTATTTTGTTCATTTTTCTTTCCTCTAAATGACTTACTAGTTAATATTCTATCAAATCATTTTGTAGGCAGCTGACTGGTGGGTTTAGGTGTTGTAATGTATGAACTACTAACTGGAGGGTCTCCGTTCATGTGATGGGAAAGAGAACTCCCAAGCTGAGCTACTAGGTCAGACTTAACAAAATAAAATGAATGGTTACTTCAAAGGAACTGATCAAATTTCTGCAATTTGGCTGATGGAAAAAATAATTAAAAATGGAGATTAGCAAGATTATGTTGAAGTGGTTAATTTACATTTATAAGTACATAGGATGTAGACATATTTCCTCATATTTCATGTGCCCAGAAAGATTTTAAATTTCATAGGGAGTGTGTCATCATTTTTGTGTATTCCAACGCACTAGCATTGACAGGGAGCTGCCACAGCCCCTGACCCAGCTGTATTCCCTGCTAGAGCCCTTTGGAATACGGGGCCCAGAGCAGTTAGGAATACAGGCTCAAGAGCCGTTTAGAATTTGGGGCAAAGAGCCTTTTTCGAATGTGGAGCAAATAGCAGTTTAGAATGTGGTGCAAATAGCAGTTTAGAATGTGGGGTGAGGAGCCATTTGGAATGTGGGGCGAGTAGCCGTTGGCACTGCTTGGCACAGAGCTGGTGGGCACAGAGACGGTGGGCCCAGAGCCTGTGTGCATAGCGATGGACGGTGGACACAGCCTCAGGATAGACGTGACTGTCCGTGAGCTCATGGAGCTCTTTCTACAGAGTCCGCTGGTGGCGGGGGTGAGTGCACCTGACTCCCTGTCCCATTGCGGGTGCCCTGGCTCCTCTCCCGCCCCCCTAAGGTCTCCACAGACCCCACCCACCTGGGCCCTGGCAGTCCTGGGACTCAGAGGTCTTCACAGGTTTCCAAACTGGGGGCGGGGGACCTGGCCTGGAGGCCTGAGGGGTTTCCTACTCTGGAGCCCATGCACCAGGTGCAGGACCCCCTGGCGCTTCCAGCCCTGGACTGAGATGAGTTCACCTGCTCCTGCCAGGGGGCTAGGCTGCGGGTCCAGGCTCTAGATGGTTTGACTCAGTGGTTAGAGTGTTGGACTGCCCACCAAAGGGTCGCAGGTTTGATTCCCCGTCAAGGGCATGTCCCTGGTTTGAAGAAGGTGATGTCGGCAGTTGGAGGAGAGGCTGCCCAGTGAGGATGAGGCCGTGGGCCTGCGCTCACACCCGGCAGAAAGGGGGAACCAGGTGGTCCTGTGTGGCCTGTGGGGATGAGATCCAGGCTCACCTGAGAAGTATTTCAGGTTATGAAAGGTTTCCTCAAAAAATAAGATTGTCATGGACCCAACCTTCTGACATAAGCGCTCTAATATTTTGCCATCTTTGCGTTAGATTTTATTTGAAGAATAAGATGCTATCCCTCCTGACCCTCCCCTCCCAAGGCTTACCCTCTTTGTGTGACACATGGATGGTGCAACTGAAATCCCTGGGACAGTTGAGGGAGCTCCCACACTGGGAGGAGTGCTGTCTGGTGGGAAGTCAGTGTCCTCCTTGAGCTAGTGTGACAGCAGCAGTGGTGTGTGAGGAAAGAGCTCGGCCGCAGAGTGTGGCTGCACTTGCTGAGGAGCCTGCCCGCCCCCCACAGGAACTTGGTGGCTGCGGGTTAATAATGTCAGTGAGGTGGGTCAGCTGTGGGAGAGTGGGCCTAGGTCCCAGGGGGCGTGGCCTTGGGAAGTGGGTGCTCTCAGGGACCCTCTGCTGCTCCCTGCCCGGCCTCCACAGCACCTTACCCTTGTGTGCCCTCAGGTGACCCGCCACCAGGAGAGCCTGTTGGACCTGCAGTGGTTGGAGGTCCCAGACATGGCCCTGGAGGAGGTGGAGTACCTCTCCAGCAGCATGATCTGTCGCCTCAGGAGGGTCTTAATTGAGCAAGACCATTGCAGGAAGGTGTGTTTGTGGGTGGCCCAACGGCCTGGGGGACGGTGGGGAGGGGCCTGGGTCTGGGGCCTAGTTATGGCCGCGCTCTTCATCCTGACTTCCTCTCAAGCTGCACACTGTCTGTCCTCCTGGCCCATTTCCGAGGGGGCAGGGCGTGGGCACTTTCCCTGCAGGGCACAGTCCCCTGAGACACCTGTGAGAGGACAGAGGTTGAGCTTGGGGAGCCTGCTCCATTCACTTGGCCCTTCTGTCTCACTAAATATATCTCCGCTTCTTAAAAACTCCCCCACTTTCTCCTGCCTCCATCCTGGCTTTGCCGTCTCGGCTGCCATCTTCTCTTTTACTTTCTTCCGTCTTTTGGTCATTCTTCACCACGTTCTAGTGCGGGCACTGTGCCGGGCACAGGAGCACGCCGGTGAGACCCCCTGTCTGCCCTGCTGTAGCTGGTCGTGACCATGACCCAGGAGTGGAACACCAGCATCCGCCCCAGCGAGGACATGCAGCACCTGGCCGTGGAGCTGGCGGACACCAAGGCCACGCTGAGCGGCGTCAGGCAGGAGCTGTGAGTCCCCCAGTGACCCCGGTCTTTCTGCTCTTGTGCCGTGTGTCACCACCCATTGCTGGCACATGTGGTTCACTGCCATGCGGTGCAGCAAACAGGGCATCTCTCACAGTGCCCTGGAGTGACGGGGCTCTGCTTTGAGCTGGGTCCCTGTTGGGCCCTGGGCTAGCCCGCTCCCTCCCCTCCCCTCCCCGGGCCTGCACAGCAGGGTTCTGCTGGGCCTTTAGGGCTCCTGCCAGTCCAGACATGGCAGACTCAGAGCAGCAGCCTGCCGCTCAACCTCGGGCCCAGGGTGGGTGCTCTTGGCTGGAGGGAGGATGTGTCTCTCCCGTCCCGTCCTGTGGGCCTGCTCCCCCTTTCCTGCAGCTGGTGATGGCACCATGCCCGATATCTGGGAAGCTGCCTGCCTTCACCTCCCTGCCAGGGGGCCTCCATGCCTGCCTGGCTGTGGAGGGAGCAGTGGCTCTGGGGGCTCCTTCCTTGTCCTGCACCCTCAGAGGAAAGCTCAGGTCTGTGGTGAAGTCTGAGAGCAGAAGTGACAACTTAAAGCTCACCTTGGACTCCAGAGCATTTTTGTAGCCCCACGTACAGACACCCTCCTCACGCCTAGAAGCCACGACCCCCTCCTTCCCCGCTGTGGTCTCTCAGGTGGTGGGCTTTCCGGGTGCTTCTGAGGAACCCTCACCACATGTTCTCATCGCCCCCAGGGAGGAGAAGACGAAACAGCTGTCGGACACCAGGCATCAGTTGTACCAGCTGGTGCTGGAGCTGCAGGAGGCCCGGCACAATGTGAGCAGGAGGCCTATTGTGTGGGCCTGGGGTGGGGGGCTAGGACGCCCCAGTCACTGTGGCCCCAGGTCCAGGAATGTGACCTGGGACACCTCTCCTTCCTGCTCAAAGCAGCGCTGCCTGAGAGCCAGCTGTCCTGGGAGCTGCTGTGGGGTGACATGCTGCAGTGACAGCATGTGGGACCCCCACAGATGGGCCTGCACATGGACCAGCTTGGCCGCCCCTGGCTTCTCCTGGGGCTGCAGGGACTTGGGCCTTCCCCAGCCCCGAGGGTGCCCTGAGCCAGGTCCCCTGCCTTTGCCCACCTGCCAGAACATGGAGCTGGTAGCCAGTGCCCAGGCTACCTGTCCCCCCCTCCCTGAGCTGGACTCCCTGAGGGAGAAGGCAAGGCACGTGAAGAGGCTGGAGATGGAGGCGATGGGCCTCAGGCAGAAGGAGAAAGACATAGACTTCTATGCAGTCGCATGGAAGTGAGCCCAGCAGGGGCAGGCAGCCCGCGGGCACTTGTGTCCTGGAAGCGGAGAGAGGGGCGGCAATGTCTCCCCAGCTGGCCCTCTCCTTTCACCACAGCCTGTCCACGCGACCCCTGGGCTCCCTCTGGTAGTGGAAGGAACAGGGTTGGGAATGTGGTTGAAAAGCCCTGATTCTTCTAGGACTTTTCCTCCTCCTCCTTCATGCCACAATGATGACCTTCTATTCACTAATCTTTTTCTTTAAGACTCCTTGTAATTTGTATGACTAAATCTTACCAGGACTGTTTCCTCATCTATAAAACAGAGATAACTGTACTAGTCCGTGAGGTTTATACAATGAAAGAGGTAAAACACCTGGTATTTGGGCAAGTTCCATATTAAGTTCTCTGTGGTGTAGCCTACTTGGATTCCAAGGTTATGGGTCTTTTCAGAGCAGGGTGTCAGGGCTGAGGGGGGATCGAGACCAAGACCCAGACATGGTTACTGACGCTCTGACCATGCACCCAACTGCCTCACATGAGCAGTGAGTTCAGGACCCTCTCTTCCAGTCGTGTTTGCTCCTCCCACCTACTCAGGGAGTGGCTGTTCCCGCAGGAATGTTGGTGGCTCACCGCTCTGTCCCCTGGGGAGAAGGCACCCTGGGTGCTGTGCCCAAGCAGCCCGGCCCTGGAGGGGTGGGGGTGGGGGCCAGCTCTCGGCTTTGTCCTGGAAATGGTCCCCTGGCCCTGCTGGTGACGAAGGGCATCAATCTGCAGCACAGACAGGTGTACGGCACGAGCACCCTCACTCACAGGTAGGAGGGTTGCGGAAGGTCATGTGCAAGCTTCCCCAGGCTGCGGCCTCCACTGCCTCCTGCACACTGGGGACCTAAGGCAGCCCCTACATCTCAGCCGACACTCTGCCCGTGGATGGGGTGGGTTTCAGGTCTCAGCCTCTGTCTCCGTGTCTTTTCCGGGCCTGTCCAAGCAGCCTCGCTCAATCATGCAGACGCAGTGACTGAAGGCCTGTGTGGCACCAAGCCCTGCGCCAGGAGCAGGGGATCTAACACAAAGCAAGACTCGCTCCTGGCACTGGGGAGCTTCTGGGCTTTTGCAGGGTTTCCCGTGGGAACCCTGTTCCGTGGTCTCAAGGTGTGTGCCTCTGGATAGCAGCAGCAACATTTTTAATATCCTATTTAATAAGAGCCTAATATGCAAATTGTCCTCTTGGATGGGAGTTCCACAGGGAGGCCAGGAGTTCTACTGCTTGCTATTACATGTGCTGGCCACCAGGGGACAGCGCGGAACATTGCTGGCATTGGCAATGCACTGTGACCTCTCGCTTGCTAACCTGGAGCGGGGGTGACAGGGATGGAGGTGCTGTAAGGATGCAAGCTCGTTCTCACTCCCCTGCATCCCTCCCTGGGACACCAGGGCTCGCCCACCAGGGAAGCCCCTGAGCTCAGGTGCTGGGTGCCCAGGAGGAGCCCACCCTGCACCCGCACAAACTTGTTAAGGTGAGCCAGGCCACAGCAGCCAGGACCACAGGGGCCTGTTGGGCTCCTGGTGGGTTTGAGCAGGAGCTGGTCTGCAAGGCCAGCCAGGAGAGAGCATGCTGCCCTCCCTGCTTCTGGGGGACACCACTGGGTGGCTCAGAGGCCTACACTGCTCTCCGGCCCGCAGTGTCCGGCCATGCTCACCGCATCTCTGTGTGGAGACTTGGGCACCATGACTCAGGTGCGGGGATGAGGGGGGTGTGCGGGGGCCAGGGGCCCAGATGCTGCCCTGGGCCCAGAGGTCAGCTGTGACCTGCCCTTCCACGCCAGATGCTCGCACTTGGATCTCCGGCCAGGCCTAGGGACCGCACCCAGCAGGAATTTCATGCACCGGGCCTCTAGTCGATTAATAATTTTGCTGTGAAATTAGTAATGCTTTACACTTTGCATTAGTAAATGAATTACAAGAGAAACAGAGTGGTCCATTGAGGCCTGGCCCCAAAGAGGATGAGTCACACTGTTCTCCAAGGCCCGTGTGCCGGGGCCCAGGGAGCCGAGAGGACAGAGCTTGCACCTGCACGCTCACATCACAGTGGTGCCAACAGCCCTGCAGGCTGTGCGCAGCCTCCCGTCAGCCCTGCTGGGCCAGGTTTACTGTGTGCAGCTCGAGCCCCTGAGGGCAGGGGCAGGGGCCTGTCTGACTGCATGCCTGGGGCTGGCACACACAAGGCACTTGGTAGTGACCACACACGTCAAGTAAATCCCATCTCAGCATGAAAAGACTTGCAACCTGGGGAGAAGGACGGGGGAATCAGAGGTGTTGTCTCCTTCGGACGGTGACAGTGTCGGGTGTGATGGGCAGCGGAGCAGAGAGCCGAGCACGACTGTCACGTGGACACCCACCATGTGGGGCCCTCCTATGGGTACAGGGGGAGCCACAGATGGCCCGGGTGCCCTCCCCAATAGCCCGTCCAGTGTCGCCACTGAGAAACACATAAAAGGGGAGGGTGGTAGTGCCACAACCCGAGGAGACAGGCCTGGGCGCCCCTAGGCACACCTGGGAAGTGGGGGTGCACCGGGTGATCCTTGACTCTGTCTGCAAACACTCATCCCACCTCTGCTGCCAGGGCCCGGGGTGGAGGACAGAGGCAGAGAGAGAGTGCCTGGGAGGTCCCTCTGGTCCCATGCTTTGTCCTTGGCTGAAATTCCCGCCACCAGGGGCAGACATGCGGGTGCCTTGAGGATCCTGAGCAGCTGAGGGTCAGCGGGGCCTGTCTCTGCCCCTCAGAGAGGGATGGGCACTTAGCTTCCTGGGCAGGGCTTGCTCTCAGAGGCGGCGGAGGCTCCGCAGGCGAGTCCCAGCTCTCACTCCACTTGCTGGGTGTGGAGCAAGCCTTGTCCCGTCCATCACAGGAGAGGCGGTCCAGGTGCCTCTCATCCCCTCGTGCCCTGGCACCGGGTGGCGTCGATAGGAACACGTTTCTAGTGAGCTTATTACGGGAAGTTCTGTCCACAGATGGGGCCCCTGGTTGCGATCGTGCAGGGAGGGGCAGGGCAGGTGGTGGCAAGGCAGGTAGGAGCTGGGTTTAAGATCAGACCATGGTTCTGGTGGTCTCACACTCTCTGCCTCCTCCAGGCCCAGCCTTTGCCACTTTAGGACTCGGGCACAGCTTCTCGGGGTCTTGTCTCTCACTTCTGCGGTGGTGGGTGTGCAAAGCAGGTTTAGATGTTTCTGCTGCCTGATCCATGGGAAGGTTGACAACCCCAGAAAACTGAGGCCCATTGGAAGAGTAGCTATAAATCATTTGGTTCCACACTATACTCTGCTTCTGGACACTTGTCCACCCCTGCCTTTCCCCAGGTCCTTCGGGGCCCAACTCACAGGGCACCTCTGACTCCCCCTCATGCTGTGATTCAGCTGACAAGTGCCTTTGAACATTTCTAGGGGCCCCACGAGAAGAGGAGTGGCATAGTCCTGCCCTGCAGGCCTAGCCTTGGGGCGAGGGGGGGGGCTGCGGACAGGCCAGTTCAGTGTTGCCTCATAGTGGGCACTCTGGTGCCCCAGCATCTGACTCAGTGGGTGGGATAGAGTGGAGTTGAAGTCCTTTTCAGAGCAGGCAATTCGGGCTGGGTTTTGAAGGCTGAGTAGGAGTTGGTTGTAAGAATGACCAGGCAGGCTTTGCTATGGGATCTCAGGGCCTGGGATTATGGTGATACTGGTGAGTACTGGTGGGTAGACACAAGATGAGAATTCTGGGGGCAGTGACCAAGGGGGGAGAGCAGGGCCTCCTGCCTTTTGAAGCCCCTCCATGTGCTCCAGCTCACATAGCTGATAGTAGTCAGGGCTTCTTACCGAGGCGGGCTCCTTAAGGATAAGGTGCAGGCTGCTGAGGGCAGTGAAGAGACAGGTCTGGAGTTCTGCAGCCTGAGTTCAAGCCCAGCTTCACCCCTGGCTGGCTTTGTGACTTGGGGATCATTCCTTAATTGACCCAAGTCAGCCTCTTCGTGTGTAGGAAGAAACTGTCCCTGCCTCCCTCTGGGCGCTATTGTGAAAGTGAATGTGTCAGAGACAGAGAGCACCTAGTGCAGGGCCGGGGACCGGCAGGGAGGGGGCCGTCTGGTGAAGCCAGAGTCAGTGACCAAACCCTTCCGGATGCCAAGCGTTGACCAGAACCGTGTCCACTGGCGATAGGTGCACGGTTTCCCCTCTACCGAGAATCCGGGGTTCTGGCCCTTTCGGGGAAATGAACACGTGATGGATAAGCAGGAGCTACCGGCCCGCTCCCAGGTGTTAGAACCCGTGAGTGGGGCAAGCCTTGGAAAACAGCCCGCCAGGAGAAATGGGCATGTCCCCGTGTATGCGTGCTCGCAGACTGAGGGCATTCAGGGGAGACTCAGTCCTCCTGAGCCTGAGTGGCGCTGGGAGTTCTCCGGGGGGTGGGAGCAGGGATGAGGGGAATGAGCTGTGTGCTGGGCGCTGGCACGGGAGTAAGTGCAGTGGACGCCTCCCGTGGGGGCCTGTGAGGGCCCAACCATTGTGTCCACCCCCAGCATGTGCCTGGCACACAGAGGCCATAGGACTTGTTTGCTTGTTGTGTCTTACAGACCCCTCATTTCTGGGAAACTGCCCAGAGCTGTTGTTTTTCTAAGAGTAAACAACAATAGGTGTGTGACATGCTCACATAGGAACTGCGTATTGAACATTGTTCCTGGACCCAGATCAGTGGAGTGACTGTGAGAGGCCTAGACTCGGCCCTCAAAGCCAGGACAGACTCTCAGGCTCACACTCTCAGCCTCACCCCTTCCTTGTTTAAGAAAGTGGCTCAGCCAAGTCCCACACCTGTCAGCAGGTGCACTCGTCCAACCAGACACTCTCACAGTGTTCCCTTCCGAATTTAAATAGTGCCTTGCTTCGGGGATTTTTCCATCTGGCCTGGCCTAATGGAGATGGGCAGGGGCTCAAAAGTGGAGACAGAACTTCCCTCGGCAGCAGAGTCACCCCTAGGTTGTTGGTTTGGGTCCAGTGACTGGAAGAGCTGTCGTCATGACCAGGGGCCTTAACCTGATGGCTCTCATGTGTGTTCTTGCTGACCAGGTGCGGACTGGAGACGATTATTCAGTGGACACAAAGGGCCACCTCCAGGAGCATTGGATTTGGTATTGGATTGATAAGCTATTCGAGCGGGAGGAGGAGAATGTGCAGCTGAAATTGAAGCTGCACCACCTACAATTGGTAGGACAAGCTGTGGTCACCACGTGTAACACAGATGGGGACAGTTTTAGGTTCATGTTGTGCCCTTCTCTGATGTTCAGCTACTGGATCGATGCTGCTGCCACCACAGTGACCCTCTGAGGGCAGAGAGTCACTTGCTAAGCCCAGTGGCTTGAGTGGGCACCACTGAAGCCTCCAACACAGAGAGGGCCTGATGCTGTGTTGCTTTCCTGTGAGGATGGAGGGATTGGGCCTCTGTTGCAAAAAGGGTCTCCTCGGGTATTTATGATGTGGGTTGAGCTGTGATTTGTGAGTCCCTATGGCCTTTCCACGGTATTAGGCCTTCTAAGGGGCCACAGAGCTGCAGTCACCATAGCACTTGCTCTAAAGCCCTGAGCTGTAGGTCACTTTGTTCAGACACCGCTCAGAGACCTCGGGTGTCTTCATCCCCTAGGGGCATGGAGGCCTTTCATCCTGGGGGAATGAGGACAGATGCACAAGGCCGGGGCTTGTCCAGAGTGTGCCCCAGTCCACATCCTCACTGCCCCCCCCCACTTCCTGCACTAGGACCGGGACACAGACCAGAAGTGCCTTGAGGAGCTGCGGGAAGAGAACATGGCCCTTAAGACTGCACAGGGGCAGAGTGTGGAGGAGTCCGCCCACCTGCGTTGGGAGCTGGAGCAGCTGTCAGAGGGTAAAGCAGGTGCCTGGGAGCCAGCCTGGCTGTGGATTCTCTCTTACCCGGGGAGCTGAGCCCTTGGATCTGAAACTCAAGTGTCAGCACTTCCTCTACCCCAGTAAATAGGATTTTATTCAAGGGCCATTTGGAACTGTTTCATTGCAATTCTCCCCAAGAACATGAAGGGCCTGGCCACCTTGAGTCAGGAAGCCAAATGCAAAGGAAGTGTTGCCAGATTTCTCAGCTTCCATTCAGCCAGTGCCAGGAGCTTCCAGATGACAGCACGCTGATGCCCAGAGGGTGTCTTAGATCTGTCGGTGGAGGATTGGAAGCTCTGGATGCAGGAGACGTCCCCAGTGGTCACTCACCTCCATTAAAGCTGTACCCGGGGCATGGATTCCTCCTTTGATTTCATAATGGGACAGATGGCTATAGTCTGCTCTCCGTCTTCCTGGGCAGGGGCTGCTCAGTGGCTGCTGTTCAGGGGACCCAGGCCTCTTCCTCTCCCTCTGGTGTTGCCCCCTCCCAGCCCCCAGAGGAGATGAGGGGTTGGCCAGGGAAGGTGGGTGTGGTGGCCGGTCGTACAGTAGGAGCCTCAGCACCCAGCAAACAACAAGCCAGTTCCTGTGTCCAATAATAGCACACGTGCACCTGAGAGCGCAGGTTAGGGTTTGCTTAGAGCTCTGCTGAGCCAGGAGGGCCTTAGGCTGGTTTGGGGAGGGGCTGCTTTTTAAATTCTGAGCAACATTCCTCAGCGTCATGGAAAGGCTGTTGAAAGCAGCGGGGTATTCCCCTCTTCAAGGAATCCCATCTGCTCCAAACCTAAAATCAGTTCATTGAACTATGAGTCTGTGTGAGAAGTTAGTTCTTTCTGTGGTTTGGTGTCTCCCCACTCCTGGGAACCCAGGCTCTGGGAGTTGAGGCTCCTGGGGAGCACACTGCCCCCTGGTGGGACACAGAAGTGGTGCCACTGGCAGGGACTGGCTCAGACCAAATGTGCTTCTGTTAGCATCCAGGGTGGCTGATGGGGTTGGAAAGCCTCCCTGATTCAGATGCTCAGTGTAGCTTGTGAGCCCTTCCAGGTCGGTGACTGACTTCTTCTTCATGTTCCCAACTCCTACTGCTCAGCTGGCAGCTACGAACAAAGCGTGAACGTAGTTTTTGTGGTTGGGGTGGTGGCTTCTTGAGTCAGAAAGGCCTGGTTTAAAGTCCTGGCTCCTCTACTTGTTAGCCAAGTGACCTCTTCTGCACCTCAGTTTACTTATCTGAAAAATGGGGGTGATGAAGCTGCCTCACAGGATTGCTATGGGTATCTTGTGAGAGGAGACAGTGAAGCGTTAGGCTGTGCCTGGCCCACGGGGCGCCAACAAAGGATGGCTGTTCTTATCGCCCTTGTCTTATCCAAAGATACCCATTGCTCTGCTTCTTGGGGTGCTCGTGAGCAGCCCTACTAGCAGTACAGTGCGATAAGGCTCCCAGAGCTGAGTGTGTGGCCTGGAGGGACAGGTGAGGGAACAACCCTGACCCCTCAGACAGTCATGTTTTCCTCCTGAACAAGCCCGGGGACTTATCCAAAGTCACGCACCTGCTGGCGGCAGGGAGGGGCCGCGAACTCCCTTTCTTCTCAGGTCTGTGCTCCCTTTCTGTTCCGCATTGAAGCTGTTTAAAAGCAAAGGAGGACATTGCCTTTTTCTGGCTTTACCTTATGTTTTCATCTCGCTTAGAATTTTTAAAGCAGTTTGGATATACTGTCTCATTCTCTTTCAATGCATTTGTGAAAGTATAAAATGAAATCTCTGACTGAAGGAACTTACCCAGAGATGGCGAGTACTGGGCATATGTGCCCCATAGCCTCTTCCACCCACAGACATGCGGTCAGTGATCGTGTCCCCCTACACCCTCGGCTGAGCCACCTGCATTCACACCACTCTGAGGCTGGCACAGAGAGCGCACTCTGCCATCTCCCTTAGTCTCTGAAATCCTTGGCTTGACGGTCAGGTTAAAACTTGGCAGAAAGTGGTGCCAGCAGTTCCATCATCTTGAACATTTGCATTGGCTTCTCTCTACCATCACCTGCTTTATTCTTAAGCTCTGCTTGCTCCCCTGACAAACCAAGCTGAGCCAGCAAAGGGGCCATAACTGCCTGAGGAACCCTCGGGTGCAGACAGCAACAGCACCCTGGGGAAAAGGGAGGGCACCCAGCTGACCATCCCAGACCCTCAAGCCTAGGGCTCAGGGTGATGGGGCCGGTGGCAGAGAGCAGAAGCTGAGGCTGAGGCCCCTGGAATATGGGCTCTGACTCCACTTTGCTCTTCAGCCTCCAGCTGCTTCCTGAAGCTGGACCAGGAGAAGCAGAGCCTCCAGGGCACCATCCAGGGTCTGCCGGAAGCCTCCCTGGCCCGGCAGGAGAGCAGCCTCCAGCGCCGGGAGCTGGAGGAGGAGAACCAGCAGCTCAGAAAGCAGGTACCTGTGGGTAGTGTCCAGAACATACGGGCATGTAAGTGGCCATGTGGAGCACCCAGGTGTCCGTGAGCACGCGCAGCTGGGGGACAGGCAGAGTCCCGTGCAGCCACCGTTTTGGTAGGGGGACAGGAGGCCTCCTGGAGAGGCGTCAGGAGGCAGCAGGAGGAGTCCCTGCAGCAGTGAGACCACACACGATGGACCTCTGTGGGCCTCGCTGCCATCATCTGTGAAATGGGGTTAATGATGCATCCACCAGTAGGTGTGGTGAGGATGGTGTGAGTTAGTGCAGGCAAAGGGTCCAGCCTGTAAGTGCCTCATGGAAGGAGAGCAGTGCCCTGTTAGAAACCACCGGGCGGGCCCGGGAGAGAAGCAGCGATGGAAGACTCGCTCCCGTGTGGAGACCGTGGGTGGGCCATTTCAGGGCATGGCTGCTGGTGACAGGAGGCAGTGCTCACTCTCTCCTTTCGGTCGAGGGCATGAGGAAGAAGAGGTGGCTGGACGGCATTGCCTTTCTGGACAAACCAGGTCTTCCCAGTAGCGCAGCAGAACAGAGATCTGGGAGGACAGACAGGCTCACCAGCCAGGTTCATCTACAGTTACCAGGACCCCATTCACATGGCAAGAAGGGCCCTGAGAGGCTAGCGACAGCCTCCCTGAGCAGGTCATTCTGGGTCAGAGGGCCTCAATCCATGTAGCCACCACGGGTGACACAGCAGCGTCGTGGGCTCTGAGCACTCCGTGACGGGTGCCCGGATTCCGGATGAGGGAGGCGCAAGGGCACTCCTGCTTGCTGACCCCCTGGCAGGAATGGTGCTTTCAGGTGTCTGGGTGTCTGTCCCGACCGGCCCAGGGGTCCTGCCAGCGTCATTTGCTGAGGCTGCCCCAGCAATGGCAGGGACATGGGCTGCAGACCAGAGACCTGGGTCCCGCTGGTCACGGCTCTGCTGGAACTTCATCTCTGGGTGAGGCTTGGGACCGCCCCTCCTCCTGTGCAGTGGTTTCTCCAGGCCTCTCATGGGACGTCCAAAGTTCAGTGACTCACGCTTCTCGTCCTTTGAGGCTCCGTGCGCCTCGCAGCAGAGCAGCTGCCAAGCAGTGTGTCCTCTCCCTGGGGGCCGGGAGGAAGCCCCTCCTCATGCCGCGTCTCTCTGTGCAGCGCAGCTCAGGGAAAGCCACCGGACAGTCTGGGTTTTAGATTCATGTGGGCCGGGCACAGTGAATGTCTCTGTAAATGGCAGCCCGACCTCGGCTGAGATAGAAAGGCTTGACCTTTACAAAGATGAGAACCTCCAAAGGGGCGGGTCCCCAGGGGTGAGCTGCAGAGGCCTGCGCTGTAGCCTCTGGCCCAGCTCCCGGCAGGGATGAGAGATGACCCCTGACACTTCTCCTGCCCTCGGAGTCCACTCTGGTCGTCCCTCCACACACACAGGACAGGTGGTGGCTGCCGCCTTCCCACATGACTCCTTAGCCCTGTCTCTCGGGTCCCATCCCCTGCTTCCTCTCCTGATCAGTTCCCTGTAGGACCCCCGGGCAGTCCTGCCACAGCCCTTGGGAGGCCTGTCTTGGCTCCGAGCCCCTGGTGGGAGAGAGGGACTCCCTGTCCTGCTCAGCCTGCTCAGGGCCTGGCTGCATCACAGGTCCTCCCTCATGTTGGATTGAAGGTGCATCTGGGCCATCAGCTAAAAACCACAGGGGACATGGCCTGACATTGACCTCCCTGGAGCTAGGACAGGCCCAGCCTTGGACACGTCCAGACAACATGGCCCTCTGGGAGGTGTCAGAGAAGGAGGGACAAGGGTCAGCCAGGACAGGTGGCCCAGAGTCCCAGGCCCCCCGGTGCCAGCTTGGCTCTCCCACCACCCAGTGTCACCCAGGCTGTAGGCTCCCTTCAGTCTGTGTAAACCTTAGTTCCCGAAGTTCACGTCCTTCCCTGTAACTCACGACCCTTCTGTGGACCTTAGAGAGGGTGCGTCCCCCACCCTCACTTTGCACTGACATCTAAGAGTTCATTCCTTCAGGCAGGAGTCCTGGTTTTGAGAGGAAGAGGGGCAGCACTTTGGGGCCTATCCTGGGAACACAAGAGCAGCACAGGGACTGATGAGCAGACCCCTGACATCCGAGTGCTCTGGGGAATTGGAGCCTCCCCACAGGAGCCCTCGGCCCAACCCTGGTGCTTTGAGGAGGATGGAAACCCATCTCAGCCTAGTGAGCTCTCCCTAGGGGAAGGGAGGGCCTTCATGGAAGGACAGGAGTGAGGGCTCCAGTTCCATGGCAAAAAGAAGCAGAGAAGATGGGGGTGTCCAGTGGGGGTGTCCAGCCGGGGGGGGATGCCTGTGGACAGGGGGCAGTCACATCTTCAGACCAGAAGCAGCCACACCAGATATGCAAAGGTTGGACATAACATTCCTTTCACTGGGACAGAGGGGGTGGCAGGGGAGAAGGATTAACAGTAAGATGGTGAGGGGGGAACAAGGCGGGAGGCATGGGCCACAAACCCCAGGCTCCATCTGAGAGAGCAGGCCTGGGGTCGGACCGCTGCCCTGCGTTCGCTTTGCCACATCCTCACTGTGGGCCTCTGGGCAGATCACTGGACTCCCTGGGCCGGTGCCCTTCTCTGAATGAGGGTGAGTGACAGCTGTGCAGGGCCTTCCTCCTCAGGGCCGGCTCCAGAGCAGGCGCTGCCATCAGGGCAGATGCCTGCTTCCTGCTGAGCCCAGACCTGGTGCTAGGAAGTGGGGCAGTGATAAGGAAGGAGAAGAAAGATATTCTCACTTGTGAGAAAGACTCAGACATGTGGCACCTTGCAGCGCCTTTTGCTGTTGGCCCTGGCTGGTGGGGCTGCCCAGTCCTCGGGTCCCCATGTTGGGGCAGGGGGCTGGGTGTGCCCACAGGGTGCTGTGAGGACACGGATATGAGCCCCACTGTGCCTGACCCTCCCCCTCATGGGGAAGAAGCTGCCTGCCTGCTGCTTCTGAGGAGTCTGGAGACTGTGCCCAGACCTGTGAGACAAAGGCAGGGCGGCCTCAGCCCAGGAGAAGTAGGCGGAGCTCACATTAGAGCAGCAACCTTCCTGGAGTTTGTAAACCTGCCTGTGCCAGGCCGCTCCCAGCCAGGTGAATGGAGCCGGCTCTTGGACCTGCTGCCCACGGGGTCACTGGGTGTCTGAAGGACCTGCCCTCAGAGGTTCTAGTCTGTGTCCTGCGGTCTGGGGTGTTTAAAAGCTCTGAGAGCCTCCTGATCTGGATCGTGGGGCTCCTCTGTTTTAGCTTTAGAGCCGTCAACCCAAACCAGCATCAGGGTCACAAGTCCAAATGCAGGCTCTTGGGCCCCTGCCCAGACTGACCATGTCAGAAGCTCTGAGGTTGGGAGGGGCCTGGCACTCTCAGGAGGGGTCAGCTCTTGTTGTACCTGCCACCTGCCAGGTGTGAGATGAGCACGTCACCCTGACAGAAGCTGGCGCCCATGCCTGCTGCTTGCTGGCCCTGTCAGTTACGGAAATGCACTCATGGTCACATTGTTAGCAGGGAGCCACCCTCTCCCCCTCCCAGGTGGTCATGAGTTTGGTGTCAGTGGGAAGGGACAGCACCATGGGCCTCGCCTGGGAGTCGCACCTCAGGGCCCACCCTGAGTCTGAATCTGGATCCATCACAGTGTTCAGGTGTCAGGCACAGAGTGTGAGACCTGCGGGTCCAGGCAGCTCATGTTCAGGGAGTGGGCACTGGTAGGTCCCGCAGAAGAGCTCTGTGACGGGCTGCTGATTGGGCTTTGTCCAGGCAGGACGGAGAGGGTCTGGCCTGGGCAGCAGTGGGGTGTGGAGGGGGAGCCACATGGGGAACGAGGACAGGCCTTGGTGGTCCATTTACTTGGAGGGGAGAGGAGGGAGAGAGATGGCAGAGGACCCCTCAGAGCAGCTGGATGAATAGGAATGTCACCAACTGGGTGAAGTCCCTGTAGGACATCCAGTGGTGCCTGCTGGCCCCAGGAATGTGGCCTGACCCTCAGGACAGTAGTGGACACGGCCTAAGATGGAAGCATTGAGAGTGAACAGTGGAAAGCTGGGAGGGAAGCTGACCGATTGGTGTCCATGGCCTTTTTCTCTACCATGAGCTGGAAGTACACACCATGGGCTGAGAGGTGATGGTCTGGGTGTGGGGAGCTCACTGTGCAACTAGGCCTGACCTGGGCAGCGGCTCAGGGATGCCACCCAGGAGCCAGGCTTCTCCCTTCCTGCTCTGCAGTCTTGGCAGTGGCTGAAGTACTTCCCCAAGAAGTGGGACGGAAGGTTTTCCCTTGTTAAAAGGTCTTATAAAGTGTTCCCTGGGGCTGACAGGTTTTGGGTTTGCTTTAAAACACAGTTCACTCCCTGAAACGGACTTTTGCATGGGCTGGGTCTTTGGCTCCGCAGATTGAAGACTTGCGAGTCCAGATGGAAAGAGAAAAGCAGACCAGCCAGGATCTGGAGATCCTCAGTGAGGAGCTGATGGAGGAGAGAGAACAGCTGCTCTGTGACATAGAGACCCTGAAGGCTGAGAGAGCCCAGGAGGTAGGCCCTCCAGTGCCCATGCCTCCTCTGGTGCCCCTACCTGCAAGACGGAGAGTCCAGGATCATAGGATGTCCAGGGAATCCAGCAGTGATTCCCGGGTTACCAGTTTCCTCATCAGCTGCAGTCAGACCAGCAATTACAGCCGCCGAAAGGGGGCGAAGGCAGGGACAGTTATTGCCCCCAGGGACACTGGCAATCTTGTTTTTGATTGTCACGACTTGGGGGAGGAGAGGGGAGATGCTCCTGGCTGTGGTGGGGAGAGGCCAGGATGCTGAAAATGTCTTGCTGCACACGGGACAGCCTGCAGGACAAAGAAACATCCCACTTCAAATGTCCAGCATCACTGAGAACCCTGGCAACCTCCAGGGTTGATCCACCTCACAGTAAAACAAGTCCCAGGGTAGGCCTCCCAGTGCTGGGTCAGGGGCTCAGGGATGCCACTGAGGTCCCAGGCTTCTCCCTTCCTGTTCTGCAGTAAATCAGAAGAAGCCTTAATCAATAAGCCAAATTTATTTGGAGTCTTATTCATTTTTGCTAGCCCTAGCAGGCCCAGAGGAACTCTTGCTTCTCAAATTCTGGAGCCCAATATGGTGGAAGTCTTTTCAATTTATATGTTTTTCAGCTCTTTGTTTTCCAAATTTAGAATGAGACTTCAGGACCTTATGAGAAAAAGTCCTGTTTGCTCGGACAGGGCCATGAGACCATATCTCAAGGCCTGGCCAGGTGCCAGCACTGACAACTCTGTCTGGGGCAGAGTTTATGTCCTCTCTGGAGTGGGGAGTAGTCTTATTTCCCTATTATTTAAGCAAGCAAATGTTTACTGAGTAGCAGGGTTAAAGTTTTAAACAGCAGTTTTTACCCAAGATGGAGGTTACTATACTTCATAAAGTGTTCTGTGGGGCTGACAGGTTTCGGGTTTGCTTTAAAAAACAGTTCACTCCCTGAAATGGACTTTTGCAAGGGCTGCTTCTTTGGCTCAGCAGATTGAAGACTTGCGAGTCCAGATGGAAAGAGAAAAGCAGACCAGCCAGGATCTGGAGATCCTCAGTGAGGAGCTGGTGGAGGAGAGAGAACAGCTGCTCCGTGACATAGAGACCCTGAAGGCTGAGAAAGCCCAGGAGGTAGGCCCTCCAGCGCCATGCCTCCCCTGACACCCCTGCCTGCAAGAGGGAGAGTCCAGGATCATAGGATGTCCTGGGAATCAAGCAGTGATTCCCAGGTTACCAGTTTCCTTGTCAGCTGCAGTCAGACCAACAATTCCAGCCACAGCAGGGCAGGAGGGGGGGGGCAGATATTGCCCCCAGGGACACTGGCAATCTTGTTTTTGATTGTCATGACTTGGGGGAGGAGAGTGGAGGTGCTCCTGGCTGTGCTTCTGGCTGTGGTGGGAGAGGCCAGGATGCTGCTAAATGTCCTGCAGCACATGGGACAGCCCGCAGGACAAAGATCCCCCTTCAAATGTCCAGCTTCACGCTCAGAGCTCTGGAGAACCTCCAGGGTTGATCTGCCTCACACTACAGGAAGTCCCAGGGTAGGCAGCCCAGTGCTGGGGGAGCAGCTCAGGGACACCACCCAGAAACCAGGCTTCTCCCTTCCTGCTCTGCCAATCTTGGCCGTGGCTGTTGTACCTCGCCAAGAAGTGGGCAGGAAGAATGTGGAGGGTGAAGAGACAGAGGGAAGGCCTCCCGGGATCCTCTGTGGACATCTCATTGGCCACACCTGACACATGACTAACCCTAGCTGCAAGGGAGGCTGGGTATCAGGTACTTGAGTTCTTCAGCCTCTCTAGTATTGCAGGAAAGGGGCTTGGGGTGGTGCTGTGTAGACTTAAGAGGCATGCATCCACCCTCCCCCAATATGGCTTCCAGTCTAGGAGGTGGAATGACAGGTGACAAGCCAGGTAACTTGAGATGTGTGCTATTGAGGGAATATACGAGGGTCCAGGGAGAGTCTTATTGGTGCAGGACATTTAGAATCCTGGTGCAGGGCTTCCCTGAGGAGCTGTCAATCACACTGAGCCCTGGATGATGAGAAGGAGCCAGAGAAGCTGGAGGCTGGGGGTGGAGGCAGGTGAGCATTCACAGCAGAGGGAAGATCATGTGCAGTGCCTGCAGGGGAGAGTGGTGTGAGGAGTGGCCACAGGGGTGGGCGGTCAGCTCTTGAACCACTGTGGACCAGAGTAAAAAGCACCAAAAAAATCACTTTCATTGTTTTAAGAGAAGATGCGGTTTCTGTTTCTAAGTCATCTGGCTTCTGTGAAAGTGTTTAGACTTGAACTGTCTGGGTGGGGATCTCCATGCCCTTCACCTTGTGTCCATATCAGGCCTTTGGGAAACGTTAGGACGTCCTTTGGGTCCATGATGAGATGGACATTCCAGGCCTACACTTTGGGCCTCCAGTTTGGACCGAAATCATGCCTGTGTCGTTTCCTTGTGTTTTCCTGCAGTTCAAGGATCTGAAAAAACTGGTGCATTCACTGCGGGATAGTTCACAGACCAGCAGCAAGGCCCGCATGAAGGGCAGGAAGACTGAGCAAAAAGTCCTCCTCCAGACGGTGACGGACACCAAAAGGAAAGTGACCATGATGGAGTGGGAGCGGCGGCAGCTGTGCCGGGACCTGGAGCAGGTGAAGGCGCAGGCGGCGCAGGCACAGGAGCTGGAGCACATGAAGGTGCGGGTGAAGGAGCACGTGGTGCGGGCACAGGAGCTGGAGCAGGAGCTGCATCGGCTGCAGGAGGAGAACGAGAAGCTGGCCATGGAGGTCAGCGCCCTGACGACGGCCCCTGAGAGGGTCCACGCCCTGGAGTGGGAAAGCCAGGACCTGTTGCTGGAGAACCAGAGGCTGCAGACGTCTCTGGACACCCTGCAGCCTGAGGGTCTGGAGCGGGACAAGCAGCTGGACACCAGGGTAATTCTGGCCTCAGAATGAGTTAGGACGGTTCCTCCCCGGTCAACTCTCTGGTGCTTTGAATGCGTTTGGATGGGTGTTGTGTAAATATCGGTTAAGTGGGTTGGTATTGCTGTTCAGGTTCTCTATGTCCTTACTGAATTTCCATGTACCTAAGGAGCTTATTCAGAGAAAGGGCACAAATTGCCAAGAAAGGTCACATGTACAGTCAGGGGCCCAGGACTAAGCTTAGGCCCATGTGACAGTCTGTTTCTGCTGAGGACCTTCCCACAGCTGTTCCTTATGTGCAGGTAGAGCTGTCCTCAGCACGGCTGGGTTTTGCCAGTCCTGAGGGTCCTGCTATTTTTGTGTCTAAACTTGACCTTCTCTTGGCCCCTCACTGTGTGGGAGGATGTGGGAATCCGGGGATCTGGAGTTTGTGGTCCCCCTGGGCCTGAACCTGGTGAGGCATCATCCCCTTCTCCCTCCTGGAAGGTGGAAAATTCCACTCTGTGCCCCCAGAGCGCCTCGCTCACTGCGCTCATAGAGAAGAACACGCAGCTCCAGCACCAGCAACTGGCGGCAGCCCACGAGGCCCTGCAGCGGGAACACGCGTGCCTGGGCGCGCTCCATGAGCACCTGTCTGGGGAACATGAGGCCCTCATGGATGAGTACAGCCGCCAGAAGACACTGCTGCGACGGACCCTGGAGCTGGAGAGCAAGGTGCTCAGTGACAGGTGGGTGCCTGCGGCTGGGGGTGACTGACAGGCTCCCCGGGCTCCTGTCCCCCCTTCACTCTGGTCCCTCATGTTTCCTCTGTCCCGCTGCTTCACAGTGAAGAGAAGTAAATCCACCATCACTCTCAGCGATGTGGAGTTGGTGCGGCTGGAGACTGAGGGGCAGGAGGGTCCCCCAGGGGAGAAGGGTGTGCCCACAAATCCCAGCTCAGGGAAACCAGGTGTCAGCATTGGGGACCCAGCTCCCCTGGGCATTCCTACCCCCTCTTCCTTTTCTCTCCAAACCAAGGACAAGGAGGGGAAGTCACCACAGCTGCCGATGTTCAGGGGCATGCCTTACCGAGGTCCCCAGGCCTTTTTCCTGTCCAAGTCTCCAAGTCTGGGCTTCTGAATTTCTTTTTTTACTTTTAATTTTGGAAACGTTTGAATATATGGACGCGTAAGGAATAGTATAGTGAAAACCCCGTGTTCCCATCACCTGCAGCAGCATTACCAATCCTCTGCCATTCTCATGTCACCTTTACCTCTGACTCTTCATACACCTTTTTTTTAAAAGTAATATTGATGTACCTTAAATGCATAAATCTTAACTTTGGGCTTTTGCCAAATCAGGGCTTTGTGTGCATGTAGTCAACCAACTTCGGCTGAGCTTCTGCCTGGCAGATCCCTGATTTCAGTGGACCCGGGAGTTGCAGCGGGACCCACAGCCAGGGGGAAGTGAGATGTACAGAGAACTCCAAGGTGGGGGCGGGGAGGGGGAGAGATGCGATAAAGAGAGGCTCTCCACACTTGGAGCAGCGCAGGAGGGAGCTGTCCACTTTCTGTGCTTGTGAGTTGTCCCTGCTGAGTACTTCCCTTGCCTCTGTCTCAGCAGATGCCAGGCAAAGGCTGGGACTTCCCTGGGAGCAGCTGAGGTGCAGGGATTTGGCATCCCAGGGACCAGGGAGGGCACTGAGCCTGCAGAGCCTGTGGAGGGCGCCTGCTGCTGCATGAACTTGGGGGCGATGATGTTCATTTACGCACTCACCCAGTGCTTCCTGTGGACTCTCTCCAGAGCCTTCCACCCCTTTCTCCACCCAGATTCCCTTCCTTTGGGGGTGCCGGGATGTCTGCTCCTATAAGGCTCTCATTCCTTCCCACCAGAATGAGTATCTTCTGCCTCTTGGTATCTCCCTCACTGCCTCCTCCGCACCCATCCTGTGTTCACGAGAAGCTTAGTGAGCACCCACTGGGCGCCTGGTGCTGTCTAACGTGGTGGGAATGCACCCACCTGACTACTGATGGGAGCCTCCTGTGGTGCCCACCCCGCACCAGGGGCTAGCGGGCCTTACCCTCAATGCCCTATGATAACCGTGTGGATATATTCTTTCTGAGGTCAGGAGGGATATTATCCTCTTTCTTTCTGGCCAGAGGGTTTTGTACCATCTCATGAAAACAGGGAAAGAATTTGTTCTGAAAGTTTAGGAGCCATACATGTGTTCACA